CTCCAAGCAGAAACCTAATAAATTGAGTTTCTGCTCAGTGACAGGGTAGGCTGAGGTCGCTGTTGGTTTTGTTGTTAGTTTTTTTTTTTTTTTGTCCTTTCTCTCTCCAAGGCATTTTGTTTGTGTTACCATCTTTGTGGGTTTTCCACCTGTCTTCCTTCCACGCAAGTTGGACAGGACCTGAGTCTGCATGGACCAGAAAAGTCCACGGTAAAGCTTCCAGCGGCCCCACGCAGGCCAAGACTGGTTAGGCAGGGAAAGGCTGTGATTTGGTGTCCTATGTGGTCTGTGGTTGAACTGACTTTGGCCAGTGGTGGGCAAAGGGATGATGAAATCCATGGCCAACAAGTGAGAGGAGGGACCAATTTCAGGGATATGTCTGGGCACTTCCTTGGGTCTTAAGAACCTAACTTGGAAGCCCAGTCTACGATGATTTTCAGTCATGAGCTTGTTCCTGGAATTTCCACTGATGTCAGCAGAGCCCCAACAGTGGAAGCTCAGCACCATCAGGGAGCTCTCTGCTGGATAACTTACCCACCTGCCTTCAGGTGTGGCTCTCCTTCCTGCTCTCCAGGGCAACACGAGGGCACCAGCCTCAGAGACACAAGGGACAGCCGGGCTTGGAGGTGTAACGAACACACTAAAACCTCACATCCTTGAATGGATGGGGCATTCAAGAGTGGAAAATCGGGAACTGAGTCAGAGGAGCTTGGATCAATTAGATGCAAGGAAGAGACAGCTGAGGAACTCTTTAAAATATTTTCCAAGCCAGTGGCAGGAGATGAGCTTGGAGAGGGAGATGCGGGCCAGATCTGGAAGGATGTGGGTAGCACTCTGTGCGCACGTGGGGGCCCCCGAAGGGCTGAGAGCAGAACAGAGATGATCAGAGCTGCATTTCAGAGGCTCGCTCCGGCTGCGGGGTAAAGAACGGATGGGGGGAGGGGGGAGTGGAAACAGCTGTCAGAAGGCTCCTGTGGAAATCTAGAGAAGAGAGGGAGGCGGTCTGAGCCAAGACATTGGGTAGAGAATGCAGACAAGTCAACAGCTCCAAGAACTATTCAAGAGATCGGGTTAGAAAGGAAGACGGTCTTAGACAAGAAAGACAAAGGCTGTGCACTTAAAAAGTTTCACCCTAAGGAGAGTTAGTCTAAACTATTTCCCCTACCTTTTGTTTATCTAACAGAAGGGCAAGTTGAAATCTTTTTTTTTTTCCTTTTAAATTGTGCTCCTGGACCAACTGTGTCTCCAAGTGTCACCTGTTAACCCTTTTTTGCGTAGTGCTTGAGCTAGCAGGTTCTGAAATCAGGCCGCCTGGGTGCGGTTATACTATTTAGAGTCTTCATTAGAAGCAGGTACATCTAATAGCTCTCTTTGATGATCTACTCAGTAGGGGAGAAGAATTAAAGGGGTGAGATTCTCCATTTAGCACGCCAATGTCCTGCCCTAAATTAAAAAGAATGTGATCTTAATGCAGCCCTTGGCAGTGGAGTCAGAAAAGCAAAGCTGTGACAGAGAGATGTTGTTCTGTGCAGACAAGAGAAAAAATACTTTCAGGAACCCAAAGCTTAGGGCTAATCTTGAAGAACCACCGAATGGTCCCCTGCCCGCCAGCAAAGGGCACACTTCTTTGCCAGCGTGTCCTCAAATACCACCTAATCAAGAATACAAGTTGCTAAGATCGTTCCTCCCATGGATCTTCCTCAGGCAGGCCGTCCTAAGGCTGAGCAGGGCAGAGCGAAAGGGGTAACCATGGTGGGGAAACTCACCATCCTGTTATCAATTAAGAGCTCACTACTCAATCCAGATCCCAAATGGAAACGTTCTACATGGACATGGACTGCCCTTCTTGAGTAAGGTGACTGACCATCCCAGTTTGTCTGGGACTTCCAGTGCTAAAATGGGGAGACTCCTAGGCGAACTAGGACGAGATGGTCACCCATCCCACTTGGAGCTCATATCACCACTTTCAATGGTGATTTCAGAAAACCATATTGACCAAAGTGGGGTCCATTTTATTGGGAAGGAAAGAAAATCAGTTTGCTCCACTGTATCTGTTCCGGACACTGTTTCCAATGGAAAGGAAACTGGGAGAGCCACAGTAGTGAGGGCAGGCTCTGAAATCAGACGCAATAGGTTCAAATCCTTGCTTTCCTCTGTACAATGGGAACGTTCCTAATTCATGCCTCTGAACTAAGAAAATGTGTGGAAAGAGCTGGACCCAGTGTCTGGCTTGTAGTAAGTATTCGAAACCATGAGCTGTTTTTTTATTATTAGAACTTTCCATCTAACCCCACCCCAAGCCCAATCCTCTTGATGAAAAGCTACTTAGAGCTTTTAATCTCTCTCTTGGCATTTCCCATTTGACATAGGCTTTGAGGAGCTTCTGTAACTCAGCCCCCTTCCCGGGGGCCTTAACTGATAGGGTCCATTTACCAGGTTCCTCTTTGCAAACTTGTAACTGAGACGATCTGGAAAACCTTTGACTGAAGTGACCAACGTGACTGAATGTGAAAGAAAAGCCTGACCATCGTGCCTTTCCCTAAGGACGGGGTTATCTCTAAGGGGAGGGAGGTTTCTCAGCTCTGAAGATGTTTGTTAACTGAGATAATGTGTATAAAAAGCTTAACGCTGTGGTCCAAACAGTGCCACCGCCACATAATTCTCTCTTCCTCGAACAATTGCAGTAGCCTCCTAGTTTGGCTACTGCTTCTGCCTTTTTGCCCAAGAATGTTTTCCACCCCACAGCCGGAGGGAGGGATCTTTTAAATGTAAGGCAGCTAAAAGCCAGAAACTGCCCTGGTTATCCATCAACAGGAGAAAGGATACACTGTGGTATATCCCTGCAAAGAAACACTACCCCACAATTAAAAAAAAAATGTACTGGTCCAAGTTACAGCATGGGTCTCAAACATACTACGCTGAGTGAAAGAAGCCTCACACAAGACCCTGCACAATTCCATTTATATAAAGTTCTGGATCAGGCAAAAAGAACGTATGGTGAG